TATGTATATATATATATAGACACACATATATATGTATGTAGATAGATATATAGATATATACATATATATACGTGTATATATACGTATATACATACATATATATATGTGTCTATATATATAATGTCTCTGTCCTGGTTCCTGGCACAGAGCTACTAAAACCTTTGTACTTTTCTAAGTGGTAAGAGCACAAAGAACATCTTTTTGTTCCTTGAGGTGACTGAGTGGGCTCCTAGATGGCTGCTGGTTGGGAGGTGGTCACCAGAAAGACCAAGTCATGATTAGAAGCTTGGAATTCTCAGCTTAATCCCTCATCCTCCAGGAAGGAGAGAGGAGCTAAAAACAGAGTTAATATTTGATGCCTATCAAGGGAAGTAAAAGCAAAAATAAATGAATGGGACTACATCAAACTAAAAAGTTCTGCAGAGCAAAAGAAACCATCAACAAGGTAAAGAGACAACTATCCAAATGGGAAAATATATTTGCGAGCAATGCCTCCGATAAGTGCCTAATATCCAAAATATACAAAGAACTCATACAACTCAATAACAACAAAAAAACAAACGATCCAGTAAAAAAAAGGGCAGAGGACCTGAACAGACACTTCTCCCTAGAGGACATACAAATGGCCAACAAATATATGAAAAGATGCTCAATGTCGCTAGCTATTAGGGACATGCAAATCAAAACCACAATGAGATATCATCTCATACCTGTTAGAATAGCTATAATCAACAGGACAAGTAATAACAGATGCTGGAGAGGATGCGGAGAAAAAGGAACCCTTATACACTGCTGGTAGGACTGCAAATTGGTACAGCCACTATGGAAAACAGTATGGAGGTTCCTTAACAAACTAAGAATTGATCTATCATATGATCCAGCAATCCCTCTACTGGGTATCTACCCCAGAGACTTGAAAACCCATATCCGAAAAGATATTTGCATACTGATGTTCATAGCAGCATTATTCACGGTGGTAAGGACATGGAAGCAACCAAAGTGTCTTACGGCAGATGATTGGCTAAAGAAGCTGTGGTACATATATACAATGGAATATTACTCAGCCATAAGAAGAGATGAAATACTGCCATTTGCGACAACATGGATGGACCTCGAGATAATCATGCTAAGCGAAATTGGCCAGACAGAAAAAGTTGAAAATCACATGGTATCACTTATATGTGGGATATAAACCTAAAAGCAACAAAGGAACAAGACAAACAGAGACTCATGGACATGGACAATGGACTAGTGGTTACCGGAGGCTGCGGGGAGAGGAGAGGGAGAAGCTGGGAGATAGATGGGGTAAAAGGGGTCAAATATGTGCTGACAGAAAGAAATCTAACTATGGGAAGTGAACACACAGTTTAAATATTATATGCCTTACTGTTAAAATGTACAGCTGAAACTTATTGTTACCATAAAAATAAATAAACAAATAAATAAATTGATTCTTATGGGGGGAAGCCTCCTTAAAAATCCTAATGATTATGAGAGCTTCCAGGTTGTCAACCACATCTACACCAGGAGGGTAACACACTGGAATTCCACGGGGACAGAAGCACCCATACTTGGGCCCCTACCAGACCTTGCTATATGTATCTTCTCATGTGGCTGCTCATCTGTATCCACTGTCATCTTTTAATAAATTAATAAGTGTGTTTCCTTGATTTCTGTGAGCTGCTCTAGCAAATTAATCAAATCCAAGAAGGTGTCATTGGAACCTCTGATATATAGCACATTGGTCAGAAGCACAGGTGATAACCTGAGTTTGTGACTGAAGTCTGAAGTTAGGAGGAGGGGACAGTCTCATGGGACTGATATCATAATCTGTGAGGTCTGACACTATCTTCAGGTAGGTGGTACCAGTCTTAAGTTAAATTGTAGGACACCGAGCTGGTGTTGCAGACTTGTTGTGGGGAAAATCCTTCACACATGTGGTGACTACAAGTGTCAGGAGTGAAGTGTTTCTGTGAAGGTAAATGAGACATACTGGAAAGAAAGACACAGTAGAGAAGAGGG